TGTTGTTCTGGAAGACTGCGGGAAAAAAAAAAAAAAATTAAAAAGGACCTGGCCTGGAACGTATCCGTACATGGCGCTCTTAACCCCGGGCGCCAACAGTGCCACATAAGGTAGCCCTGGCCTTGGTAGCTCTACTTTTACTGATTTATTAAGAAAGAGAGAGAACCCAAGTACTCGGATACGTACCGCGGACAATGCGCCCACTGTGTTATTATTACGACTGCACACTCCCATCGCCCCCTCTTCCCTGCACCTGTACTTGCCGCTCCCGTTCTCGCTGCTGCTGCTGCTGCTGCTCCAGTTGCTGTTACTCACTGCATTACTTTGGTCAATCGCTTGCTGCTTCCAGGCGCCTTGTGACCGCTCACCCCTTACTAGCACCCATTCCATTCTTTCCGCGCCTCGACTTTCTCTGCTGAAGCTGCTCCATAGTCGCAACAAGTACCTACCCTACCTCGTCTGTCTGACTCTTCGACAAATACTCACGATCCGTCCTCCGCCTTGCCTTTCCCTACCTTACTTCTTCTTCTCTCCAACTGCGCGTCTGCACGGGCAGCGACAGCATCGCCGGCACCAACAGCCCCCAACCACGGACCAACCTCTCTCACACGACCACCCCAACACGCACATACACACCACATAAACTCCCGCCGGAAGGACGAGCGTCATCTTCGTCCCATCACTGCCCCTCCTTGCACTACAAAGGGTCCTGTTCTCCAGCCCTGCAAACTCAGCGCCGTCCGTCTGACTTCAACCCTCCCACCCGTTCCTGATCCCTTCGTTTTCGTTCGGATCCCACCTCCGCCCGCAACGAACAACCGCCACTACAACACCATACCTTTCGCCGTCCTCCGCCATGGCTCAGTCCACCGAGCCGCGGAGGCGGTTCGCTCCCGTCCCTATCGAAACCACGTTCGAGTCCGTTCGAAAGAGCTCCCAGCAGCAGCAGGGACAGCAGCAACAACAACAACATCAGCCCGGTCCAGCACCAGAACCTACTCCCGAACACACCCCGCGAACTCCGTCTCCAAATCCATTCGAGCACCAGCTTCGCCAGCCCCCGCCCCACCACCATGACGACCACCAGAAGCCGAAGCGCCGCTTCGCTCCCCAGCTGATCGAGACCTCGAGACGAGCCCGAAGGGTGGGAGACACCGGCCCTGCCACTCGACCGACCGACAAGACCGACATCACTCCCTACACGAACCACATCTACCTCCAGCGGACCAAGTCACGAAAGAAGATCGCCGACGGCACATCTTCTCCCGCCTCTCAGACTATTCAGCGACAGCCCAAGGGCGCAAGGCGAGAGTCAGAAGACGAGAATGCCGGCACCTACATGTTGGAGTGGGCCGCCATGGAGGCCGAGAGACAGATGCAGGAGGCCGCTCTCGCTGCTTTCCCCAACAGTCGCCCTCGTGAGGGTGGCGCTGCCCACTTCTACTTCAGAGAGAGCTCCGGGGACGACAGCACTCCCGAGAGCATCTCACCCCAGCCAACGGGGACTGCCTCCAAAACCCGTGCCCGTCACGCCAATGCACCCCGGCGGAAATCTTCAGACTTGGGCTACTGGCATAAGCATATGCAGGAGCATGCAGAGAAGCTGGCAGTGGAGAGGGGCGAGCATGTCCCCGTCTTTGACGAGGAGGATGAGGATGATTCGGCCATTGACAGGATGGAGCTCGACAGCCCCCCTGATCCTCTATGGTTGACCAACACCAGGAATCAGACCGCCGATGCTGGCTCCAAGGGTCCAATTGGCGAGGTGTTGATGCCGCTGATAACCTCCGATCCTGTCTCAGCCAAAGATACGGCGCAACCAGCGCTTCCCCCGCCTGCACCAGTGACCAAGCCCATTGGCGAGACTGGAATGCCATATGTCCCTTCCACTCCGGCCACCCAACCTGCTGCTGTGCCCATTGCCAAACCTGCCCAGGTCGTCCCCGAGACTGGTTTCCGCAACGCTGGCGGTGGCGGATTCGGCAGACCCTTTGGAAACTTTGGGTTGCCCGCCGAAACTAGCGAATTTAGGAGGATGCGCAAGGCTGCGTCGCCGCCAATGTTGGGCAAGGACATCGTCTTCCGCAAGTGCCCCTCACCGAAGCAAACGAAGCTCGAGCCGGATCACCCATTCTCAGAGCTCCCTACCGCCGAAGAAAGAAACAGGGATACCACGGGAGAAGCCGGATTGTGGAGGGGCTACTGCTTCCGAAAGAGCGAGAGCGATCAGGCCATAGTGCCTGCATCTCTTCAGGGACCCAGAATGCTGCATACACCGCTGCCTCCCTCCACTCCCGGGGATCCATTCGCTGCAGCTTTTGGCAAGAGCTCTCTCACTGACGAGCCCGGTTCCCACTATGCATCCGCCACTCTCACCCCAAGCACCGCCGAACACCGCGTTCGGTCGGGTGAGTTTAAGGGTCTTCACATGCTTCATGGCTTGGAAGAACGTCTGAAGCGCGAGAAGGCCCTCGAAGAGAAAATCGCCTCCGAGTTTGACGATACTTTCATTACGCAGGTTTACAACTACCTGTCTCTTGGATATCCAGCCATGGCCCGGTCTTTCGACGAGGAACTTGCCAAAATTTCCCACATGAGCATTGATGAGTTGGAGATGGAAGATGCCAAGCAGATGGCGTCCGGCCACTTGATGGAGCCAGCTGAGGCCGAGATGGCAGAGGAGAAGAGGTGCCCCCGATGGAAGGCGCTTAAGGCGTACATCTTTGAGTGGGCACGACAACATCCTGACTTAGACAGCCTTGATCCTCTCGCTTGGGGTGTGCGTGAGAGACGAGGCAGTTGGGCAATCTAGACGGAAAATGATGGAGATACAAATCATACAGCGGAGGATTGGTTTAGCGACACAGCATGGTCAGACGGAAGAAAGGGTTTCGGGTGCTTTTGCGACAACCACAGCGCGTTATCAACGGCGTTTCAGTACAGTCTTTCATTGCGAGGAGATATATTTTGGTCAGCATTAAGATTTCGGGTGTTTCGATATGGGCAAAAAATACGCGGTGTTTGAAAGAGGGTCTAGAACAGCATGAAGAGGTGCATGGCTGCATTCCCAGAGCCCAGACGGCGTCTGTGGGGTAGACAGTGGGGTTTGGTGCATTCGAGACCAACAGAGAGGGGCGAGTGAGGATCGGTCGACGGCCGGGCGATTCCGTAGGGCAGAGCGGCGCCGAGCGAGAGGGGAAACGGCCGCGGACGAGGGTCCTCTTGATCGATTACAGGAAGGATCTAGGTACAACTTGTACACGAGCCCTGCCCAGTAGGGGTATTCAATTTTTTGGAGCGCGCACAACAGGATATCTCTGGCGCTCTGATAAGGCAATGTGAACCGAGGGCGGCGGCGGTCGCCTGATTTAACAAACATGATGGGATCATTGGTTCGCTGTGATGTGTGTGTTCCAGATAAGCCCTCTTCGTGTTTCATAGGTTGGCCTTCCACTGGCTGTCATACCTGCTTTTTCCTTCAGCCCAGAATCCGGAGTTAAATTCAAGATGGTGAGATCAGCAGAGCCCCGTTCCCAGAGTTCATGTCGCACACTAGTCCGTCACTGTCACCACATTTTAGAAGGAAGGAACAGCTGATTATCTTCTTCATGTGAGGTATCTATGTGATGTTTTCAAAGGAAGCATGTAGAAGTATAGGAAGCTCTCTATATAAGAAGAATAGATAATCATTGCATAGATGGTGTCGATGATGATGCCTGGTCGCTTCTGCATTAGATGTGAACAATGAGCTGGGACTTTTGAAGAGGTCGGTTTGGACATAAGATAGGTGCTATCAATCAAACATCTCCTCCCTTAGTTTTTTTTTTTTTTTGTATCATGCTTTATCTTCAGTATCTCTATAAACTTAATCTAGGATGAATATGTCTGCAATTACCCTTGCTGAACTGTCTCGTCCTAGATACATTACGTTTTATATGAGTACACTCTGGTAGGTTGGCTTTGCCATAGAATCTACTTCCTGCACCCTGTTAGTCTCAATACTGCAACAGTGCCCCTGTTGTCGTTTTGTCAAGCGAATATCCTCGCCTAAGTCGGGGCCTGCGTTGTAACTTGTTCGGAGCTATTTCGCCACCTCTGGTCTCGCTATCCTAGTCTCTTTCTCGGCTCAAAGTCTGAAATATCCACATATACTTGAAATTCTAATCGAACAGGCTGAATGCCGTGGAAGATGGCTAGCATATATGCCTAATCTTGTCTTAGCTGAAACTACTCAGACAGAGCTCCTTCCTCTGGGTTGGGACACTGGGAGGGGCGTGTTGGCCAAACTCTTCACTCCTCCGGGCATGCCGGCTGATATGGAAAGCCTCCTGTTGTTTACTACGTTTGGTGTTTACACCACCACCGAACAGAAAAAAAAAAAAATTTCCTGTCTTAGACTGTGCTTTTCGAACACACCCAGACGTATGGTAAGCTCATCGTGAAGGCGAAGGTAAGTTGCCGTGCGGCTGTATGAACTGGGGGCCCAAACTACAGCTCAACGTCTAGAGCGGGCGTCAACCTCATCCGACCTAGGTGGGTGGGAATTGTTCTTACATCAATCGCCGTACTCGGCCCTCGGCGACACCAGTCAAGCAGTGCAGATCGGCCCATAACATACACACACGGCACGATCACAGAACCCCGACCATTGTAATTCGATGTCCAATGGAATCCAGAAGCCTCCCCTCCCGGTCAATGTCCCAGTCAAAACCCCCGACTCGGAAAAGATCAGGAGGGCCACCAGCAGGCACGCACGAAGCTCAACAAAGGTCCTACAGGATTGGTTCGCCGCCCATCATGCATATCCGTATCCCTCGGACCAGTAGAAGGAGGAACTGAAAAGCCTTTCCGGGCTGAGCATCCGACAGATCTCATACTGGTTTGTCAATGCCCGCCGTCGAGGAGGCGTGAAGAAAAGGGCAGTCCCTACAGAATCATCGCTTCCGGAGCTGCTGCCGAGCACAGAGTCGGCGACTGTCCAGAACCCAGGGTGGGATGGCATGAACCCCCTCGACCGCTGGAGGAACTCGCCGCCCGAGGAAGAGCCGGTTTCGTTGGACGCCATCGCAGAAGCCATCGGTGCATCACAGAATCTTCCCGACCTAAGTTCTTCCATCGACTTGACTGAGCCAGCGAGCAGGAGTCACTGCCAGACCGCACTCAGCACCGACTCCATCAGCTCCCTCGGATCCTCCGACCAAAGCAACTCAAGCAACTCCTCCGCACGCTCATACGCCTCCGACTCGCTCTTCAACATCCGGACGCAAGACGGCCGTCGCCGCAGACGGCGAAAGAACCAAAAGTACCGCAACCCGCTCGCCGCGTCCACCACCGACGGGGCAAAGCGCATCTACCAGTGCACCTTCTGCACCGACACCTTCAAGTCGCGGTACGACTGACCGCGGCACGAGGGCACCCTACACCTCGTCCTCGAGAAGTGGACATGTCTCCCCGCCGGCCCGCGGTACTCCGACCCCGCCGAGGCTGTCGCGCGCTGCGTCCTCTGCGACGAGGCGGATCCCTCAGAGCAGCTCCTGGAGAGGCACAAGTACCGCGAGTGCGCGGCCAAACCGCTCGCGGCGCGGTCGTTCTACCGCAAGGACCACCTCCGGCAGCACCTGCGCCTCGCGCATGGCTTGGACGACGTGCTGCCGTCGATGGGCGGGTGGAAGATCAAGATCACGAAGGTGAAGTCCCGGTGCGGCTTTTGCGGCGAGATGTTCGCGCTGTGGGCGGACCGTAATGATCACCTCGTCGAGCACTACCGCGCCGGGGCGCTGATTAAGGATTGGACAGGATGTAGGGGTCTGGAGCCGGCTGTTGCGATGCTCGTGCAGAATGCGATGCCGCCCTACCTGATCGGGGCGGAGGCGAACAACATGGAGCCGTTCAGCGCGTTGAGAGTGGCTTCTAAGTCGCCTGCGGCGGACGCCGGGGGCCATGCTGTGCCATCGCAGTTTGAGTCCCTGACGGCAAGACTGGGCGACTACATCAAGGCCGCGATGGAGGATAACAAGCCGGTCACGAACGACTCGATCCGGAGGGAAGCGCGGGTGATCGTTTACGGGGATGATGACCCCTGAAACCAGACTCCTGCCGACAATGGGGAGTGGCTGCGGCTATTCAAGGCGGGCTACGGTCTGGCGAGCGATGTGAAATTGCCAGGCTCCAGAGAACCGGATTCTGGTTGTGGATGGCCCGTTGAGTCATCTCTTGACATATTTTCTGACCTAAACACAGCAGTCACGACGCCATTCACATTCGATAACATGCAGAATGCAGCTATATCGAGCTCTGCGTCTATCTGGCTGGACCTTTGCGGTGCTCCGGTCCAAGACGTCGCAGGGGATGGGGTAGCTGTTCCTTGGTCGTGACAGACCCCGGAGTGTCTGGCTGAATTCAGGCAGATGGGATATATGCCTTCAATAGAGATACGTACAGCTGCTGAAGTTTGCAACATCAACGACCCGTTCTTTGGGGCTCCTGTGTGCCCAGAACTGTTGGCAGCCGAGGAGCAATTCAGGAATACAGCATAGTGGAATAGTCGTGCTGGTAAATAAATAATTTTCATTTCCATTTCTAATTTCTCCAATCTTGAAATAACCTCTTTCACGAAGTCTACTCATCCTTCACAGCTTCAGCCAAAGCCAGCTCAAGATCCCCCTTCAGATCCTCCACATCTTCAACGCCAATACTCAACCGAACCAAATCATCATACACACCCACGCTCTCCCTCGCTTCGCGTGGCATAGGCGGGCCGTCTGGGGCTGTGATGGCTGCGTTGGTGAAGTTCATGCGGCGGAGGCCGGAGATGAATCGGGAGGATGTGCGGTTCGTGGTGATTTTCCCGGATGGTGTGAGGAACTATCTTTAGCAAGTTGGTGGATGATGGGTGGATGGAGCGGAACGGCATGTCATCGGGAATCACGCCATCACAAATGGGAATTCGCTGAGGTCTTCGTTTGGCATTGCCAGTAATGTTCCCAGAACAGGAGAGTTCATGAAGGTGATGTGACCCATACTTCGAGTCTCGCGTCGGCTTACACCGGCCGAAAATATGGACCCCCGCCTAGCCCGGCCCCACTCGGAAGTGTCATTCAACGCCCTGAGAAATGCCATCCGACGCCCTCTAAGAATATGCCAGGCCGCATGTCACGAGGTAACAGAACATTTGGCTTGTAATCGTTTAAATTTGCAAGATTTTCATGCTGGAGCACGCCAAGTCCCCGCCTCAGCCTACGCCCTTGAGGTGCCATTTGGTTGGAAGCTCGCGATGGAAGTACGCGAGCGCACCTCTGGACGGGCGAAACCATTACGTCGCTGGCTCGGGGCTCTTTCGCAGTAATTACTTGTTTCCCGAGGATCAAGCGCTGAGTATACGCCGCAGGCCTTGGCCCAGCTATGTTCGCGCGAGTAGCTGTAGGTTAACAGCATGCATGACGCTCACGGAGGTATATTTCAAAGATGGTATCGAAAGCCTGTTACCTTTTATTCAAGATAGAAAATATTTACGATGCTAGTGAAACATGAATTCTGGTCATAATCGCTCATTGGCATGAAACTACTGCCCGTCTAATGTTGTTACTCGATGACAATGCTTTCATAAACAAAATTATTCCACCCACGATAATCTCTAGCTAGAACTGCTCAGTCCACACGCTGACCATGTCCGTTCCTTTTCCGTTCTCGTAAGACCGCGACGGCTTGAAATAATCCACCTGCCGGAAAGCTCCCTCGAGACTTTTGTCTTCCGCGTCCTCGATCACCGGCTCCTGAATAAGACCATCGCCACCCTGCGCAAGAATGTTCCAGTATACTCCGCAAAGACCCCAAGGCGGTCCCGGCATATCGAAGTCTTTGTAGAGAGGGAACTAGAGGCAGACGAGAACACCGGTGAGTGCGAGACGCTCCTGCATACGCCGAACCCAGTCTTTCCGCCATCACATTGATTGGTTATATCGCCCGAGCAGTATGGAGCTACTCAAACACTTGGACGGCGATTATGGACTTATTGAGGTCGACGTGCACTTTATTTGATAGATGTCAGCGCATACCTCTTGCACGTCGCGATATATGCCTGTTAGATCTTGGTTCACAGCTCACAAGTATATTCTACCCGCCAAGAGAAGGAACTTTTCTAAAAGCAAGACGATGTCATTCATGCTTCAGATAACAAGAGGTAAGGAACCAAGACAGTTCTATTTCGCGCCCCAAACACAAAACATGCCAGCCCTCATGAAGCATCTCAAGTACAGCTTGCTCAGCCATATCTTGCGAGTCTTAAGCTTTTAAGGCGTGAGCGTGCATTTCAGATCCGTGTTGCATCTATTGATACACTTCACATAGACATCGTTGCTCCCTTTCCCGAAAAAGCATTCTTCCCGGCATAAGTTACACTGTATCTCTTTAGTTACAGCGCTAAGAGTAGTCAGATGGCTTGCTTACCGCTGTGTTCTGGCGAGGTTCGATGGCAGTGGGGCCTGCAACGGCAAGGCCTGCGAAGAGGGCGAACAGAGTGATGGAAAATTGCATTCTGTAATGGGATAATAACGTCGGTCAACGACAATACTTGAATATTAGTGAGGGTGAATGAAAGATAAAAGAGAAAGTTTGTATCAGCTAATGGTAGAGAGCGAGTAGATGTGCTGGAAATTATCTACAAGGTGAGGAAATACAGAGCGAGTATCACTTCTTATATAACCATGTAAAGAGGGACAGTTTGGAAGCAATCAGATATTTACCGCAGTGTGGACATGGTGCTCTTTACAGTTTTGTCTGGGTATTTCGAGCAGGTCAGGGGCTGCAACTCTATTGTTATTATCCCCTGTTCTGCACTATCAACTTACGCAGGCCAGCACCCCAACTGATGGGTTCGTAACACTGGGGCTCCGTAACCTGACTCGATGCTATGGCCAGCTGACACAAATCTGACACAACGCCAATGGAAGGCCGGCCAATGGTCTCTAAAAACAGATTATGAAAGGGCCGGCCAAGTCACTTATTGGTGTGTTCGATGTGCTAGAGTGCGGTTACGGGCGTGGGAAATTTTCCTTTTCGTACTTAAGCGGTACTCATTGTCGAGACAAGCTCTCTTGTCGGCCTTCACTCGTGGACCAACACCCTGGGCTTCATGTCCCACCCTTGGACAGCTCGGGGTCTTAAAATGTCTCCCAGCACAGTCAGCAACGGCACCAGTGAGCAGGGTCAAGCGACGGACATTGTGGCCTCGACGGATGACTGGAATGACTGCCCCCTCTTGGGTGTTGCCACCTGCCAAAAAGGAAATGCGACCAACGTTAATGCCAACAAAGCCGCCCAATGATTCACTAATCTACTGCTTACATACTGCAGCTGAAAACCTCACCAAGTGCAGACGAGACCAATGGCGACGGCAGACCAGAGGCCTAAGCTAATAGCCAACTGCACAACAAAGCAGCAGCTTCAACAACAACAAACCTGGAGTTATCGCCTGTTCTACACTAGTAGCCGCGCCGGCCAGCGCCCCGATTGGTTGGGCCATAATGGATGTAGCTATTGTATCTGCCCGGTCACCATGTTTCACTTTCCAGGGCTGGTTCCTCAGATCTAAAGTCGCTATGATGCGAGACCTGGTGACTTAGACTTCTTGAATTATCACGTCAACATCTTTTCGAACATGACTAAGATTGAGGTTTTTGAGGGTACAGGTAACAGAAGTCTGTCCCGAAAGGAATGGTCCAAGGCAGCGTGTCTGGTGAGGTGAAGGGTAGCGAACTAGCATAGACGCAAAATGTTGGAAGATAAGAGCAAGGCATGTCGATTGCGGCCTTATCGAGTCACTCGCGATGCACTCAAGGACTTGTCCAGGAGTCTGTCTAGAGAGATAGGCGCAATGAACAGTTGACGATAAGGTATGGACATACTCCCAGCTGTTCTTGGGAACACGGACGGGTGCATCTGTGTTTTTCTAAGCATCGCTTCCCGTGTTAACAGAGTGTAATGAAACAGGGAAGTTTCCAAGGACAAAAGTGCACGAAGCGGAGGCGAAGTCAACCCGGTCTGGATGATCGACAAACACAGTAGACAACTGGTCCAAGAGAAATCAGGCAGACGTGCGGCCCCCGAGCTTTGGAAATATGCATGTCCAACTCGGGTTTGCGGAATTAGAGCGCCAGGATTGGAAGATATTCTTGTGGTCACAAAGCCTGCTTGATGCAGCCCGGTCAGCCCTAACTTGGCTGTTCATAGCCGCCGATCTCTACGCAGCGATTGCTGCGGATCGGTGGTGCATGTAAGTTGATCTTGAAGTCCATACTCGCTCAAGGACAAGATCATCCGCACACAATCGAGGAGCCTGGGAAAAAAAAGGTTCAAAGTTTAGAATTCATAATCCCTACCCCTTTCCTATCTTCTTCTTCGCTCCATGGTGGCCCCCTCGACTCTGCTGAATTTCCGCAACTCTGAGGCTTACATCACAGCCCTCAGCTGTTTTGTAATTATTGATAGCTGCTTTTACATCCATTGATTGTCCCACATCCCATGTTTCCTCTTTGCATCGTTGGGCTGTTTGACGTGATGAGCGCCTTCCTCCGGCTACCAGGCCCCAGTGCCACGGTGATTACACGCATAATCCCGTCTATCTCTTGGGGCAAGAGGTCGATCTATCATGGCAGAAGGATTATGATGTGATCGACTTGATCCTAACCCAGTCATCACCTGAGAGGGATCCATCCGTCTACCTTCTGAATGAGTTCATCTCATTACTCTGCATCGTTGACCTTTGACGCCGGGCCTGCGCAATACTGACAAGAGACTTGGTTACAGACGCAAGGAGCGCCGTCTATTTCTTTCCGAATGCTACTAGCTGGGACCACCGGGGGCGGTACAACATCCCATTACTTCAACATTACTGAGGCTGCCGCCTCAGAAACCACTGCGTCATCCTCTGCGGTTAGGTCGCCGACCGCATCTTCCACATCGGCGTCGGCATCCACATCGGCTCCCCATAAAGACGAGGGAAAGGGAAGTTCTGGTGGGGCTATAAAGCGGGCATCGCGATCGGGGCGACCCTAGGGACTCTTGCAGTGGGCTGTCTGGTGGGATAGATGGTCTGGAAGCAGACACGAAACAGAAAGTAGGCGCTGACAGACCAGAGCGATAAGTCGCTGCACGAAGTGCATGGGCAGAGTTATATTCGCTATGGGCTTGGCAGCTCAGATGAGAGAGATGCCAGAAATGAATTGCCAACCGATCCAAACTGGTGAGGTTGCAAGATGAGCATTCTTGAATCACCTTGAAGTACTTTGCGCTAAGACCCCGTCATGTACCACTACTACAAGTGATTGATCATTATATGGGCGGATTAAGAACGCGGACTAAGAGTGTAACGTGTGGATCGAATCCGATATTGATCACGCAGCCTGCGACCATGGTTTTAAACTGACTTCTAGACGGGCGATAGTATGTTTACAGCCAATTATTGACTTGATTTCCGTTTAGAAGATAAGAATTGAACTTATGTCGGTGGCAACGCCGATCTATCCTTGGGGGGGGAGATCTGTGTTGCGACCAACTGCAAGCGCCATGCGAATCATGCCGGCAAATCAACGTAGGTATCAATACATCACTTTCATTCAAACCAGTACTTAATGCTGTATAGGTATACTATTATGCAAGAACCATTTGCTAATGACGGGATCCTGATTGACTTGGTTTTAGAAAGAAAGTTTTCTCCCAAGCATCCATAGAGTCGACCATCCTGCGAAGCGCGCACCCCATCCCTTTTTCGTATCCAATGCGAGAAATCGACCCGACCTTTAGGAGTGCCACAAGCAACCGCGTACATTGTTCCACAAGCCGAAATACTGAGATATGAGAAATCAAATTGACGCATCACTCACTCGTACAGCAGACATTATCGAGATGACGATCTGCTTCGTCCTCAAAAGAAAGCCCACGTAGTACCTCTCGCTCCCTTACTGATATGCTTGGCGATGGTGTGGTGTAAATATCACCGCAAATCCAAACCTTTCGTGAGTCCAGAAGTTTACAGTACATCGAATATTTTGTTCCCCGAGAAAGAAGGGCAGCAAATTTTCTATCTATTCACGCAAACATGCAGCGCCGGTGCTCTCCTGTCAAAATCTCTGTCGACCTGGCATTGATGTTTTCCTGGTAATTCAAACTTCCCGCCTTGGGTCCTGACGCCCCTCATACGCAGAAAACCACATAGCATATGATAGCTGACACGACCTTCCAGGGCTGTGCTGTTCGTTGCTGTCAATGCACAATCTGCCCATGCAAACAACGTGGAATGCATCGGAGCGAATACCACCGGGCCATGCTTGGTCACCCCAGATTGTTTCGATCCGATGTACGCCACGGCAGTCATTGACAAAGATGAGAATATGACTCTGCCCTCTCGCCATCGGCGGATTTCTGGTCATTTCGAAGACACCGACGTCGATTTCAACATCTATTTCCCCCCAGAGACTCAGTGCCAGGGTCGTTTCTTCAGCTACGTCTATCCAGACCAGAACTCCACGGCCATAGACCGGCGGATTGGCTTTGCGCTGGACAGTGGTGCCTACCTCATTCAAGTCTCTGGCACTTCGGGATATCGCGCCGACGCCGCCGCTGCGAAGTTCTCTCGGTCCATTTTGGCCAACTACTATCGCTCGGTCCCCGAACACGTCTACGGTTACATATATGGCGGCAGTGGAGGCTCGTACATGACGATAGGTGCAATGGAGAACACTGTCGGTGTCTGGGACGGGGCAGTGCCCATCGTGATAGCCACACCAGTTTCAATTCCGTTGAACCACGCGGTACGCAACCTGGCCTCAGCAGTGCTCAGGAACAAGTCATCCCACATCGTTGACTCAATCAGAAGTGGAGATGTGGGAAACGCCATGTCGAACCTCAGCGAGGCTGAGGCATCTGTGTTCAGGGAAGCGACGCTTTTGGGCGTTCCGATGGAAGCCTGGGAAAACTTCAGCGGCCTCGCGAGCAGCCGAATGCTGAAAGTTCTATTGAGCTCGGTCAAAAACATCGATCCTTCTTACGCGGACGACTACTGGAGCAAACCAGGATACATGGGGACTGATAATTCTACTCTATCCGACGTGCTTCATCGCAACTTTGTCAATCTCACAGCGACAGTGAAGGAGGTCATCGAAACCACCGGAGATGTTGACCTCGTTTCTAACGTCACACTTGAGGGAGTGACTGACAAAATTGTCAATTTCGACGGTCTGGAATTCACCTTCCTCGATACGGACTGTTCGTCCAAGGTTGGCACCTTGACCGGGACCTGGAACCCCATCACCAAATCAATCATGGTGACCAAGGACAATTCGGACATCGTGTTGGGCAATCTGACCCAGGGTCGTCGAATACGCGTCGATAATAGCTGGTTCATTGCAATGCATACATACCATCGCCATCAAATCCCGAATCGACCCGGTTTCTACGGATTCGATCAGTTGATGGGACCCGACGGAGCCCCTTTGTATCCCCAGCGAGCCGTACAAGCCGCTGTCGAAGTGGCCAAGGGCGCATGTGGCGGTTGCACCCATAGCGGCAACATCACTGGGAAGATGATAATAGTGGACAACCTGCTTGATAGCGATGCCTTCCCATGGCATGCAGATTGGTACAAGTCTCAGGTACAAAGGGCTCTCGGTTCCAGCTTCGATAACAATTTCCGGTTGTGGTACAACGAGCGCGCCGACCACTTCTTCGAGCCTGTCGCGGAGAATCTGAAAGACTTCATTGTGGACTACACTGGGATGTACGAGCATGCGATGCGCAGTCTCAGTGCCTGGGTTGAAGACGGCATTCAACCACCGACATCGACGAGCTATCGAGTTCAAAATAGCCAGGTCGTTCTTTCCGGCAAAGCAGACGAGCGCCATGGTATCCAGCCCATTGTTGAGCTTTCCATGAATTCGTCGCTTATTGGATACATTCAAAGGGGGGCCGAGGTGAATCTCACCATGCGGGCGGTAGCACCTGTTGGGGCTGGCAAAATCGTCGCTGTCGATTGGGACTTTCTGGGAGCCAAGAAGTTTGAAAGCGTGCCAATTGGCGAACCTAACGAGATCGTTGACTTGAATGTTCCGTTCGTTTATGAAAATGTCGGTACGTATCTGTGTGTGGTTAAGATTACTGCCCAACGTGATGGAAACTCGTCTTCCCAATTTGCTCGGGTAAGCAACTTGGGGCGGATGCAGGTTGTAGTTGGTTGATCTGCTCCAGAAGCATTCAATGTTACTTGTCTTCTACCAGATACAATGAGGCCTAAGTTAGGCAGTTTAGTGCTTTTCTCGATTAAACCAAAGTGACGTAGAGTCCAGTTTGAACACCAGGATGCCAAACCTCTCACTTAAGGATTCTTGTAAGGCGGCGAGATCTTATTGGCCCCATCCTTCAAGACCGGAGGCTTCATCTTTGCCAAGTCAACATCGGGCAGGACACGCAGATTCACCGGATGTCCAGTCTTGACGCGCTCGCCAAACCCATCGGCTGGCACTGCCCCAATAGCCTTTCGCTTCTCATCGGAGAGATGGTTGTACTCGTTAGTCATGCACACACCGCATATCTTGCAGAATGTCTTGTTGAGGACGTGACGCGAGAAGCTGTATCGGCCGATGTTGGCGGGTTCGGTGGCGTGGAGAACGACTCGTTCCTTCTTCGGATAGATCCATCGGTAGGCGTTCTGTTTCGTTTCCGTCAGCGTCTGAACTTACAACGCCAAAGAAACCCTTCGACTGACCCTCACGCAGATACTGCAATTGCACTCGGCTGTTTCATTGTCATTTGTTTCATCCAGCGGCTCGCTCATGAAAGCCACGGTGACTGCGCCGCAATGACAAGAGCCGGTGTAGAGCTTGCTGCCGTCGATGGCAGGGGGCAGCGGCCCGTCATGTTCGGGAGATGCATATTTGTCTCCGAGAGCAGCGCCGTCGTACCTGGGAACAAGCTGATTAGCCAAATGGAGTCCTCCTAGGACATATTTTCCAAAGATATCTGCATCTTCAAGAAAGGCTCACGGTTGCTTCTCCAACTCAAAAACATCAATACCTTGAATGGTACGAATCTGCAGACGAAACCTGGGTCAGTGCCTAATCGTGTGCAGATGGAGTATTAAGATAAGGAGGTCACTCACGTTGAAGGCTCTGCCATTACCTCCAATGAACTCCCCCATAACAGGCGTGGCACAAGTGGGACAGAACTGCAAAATCAATGTCAGCGACTGGGCTAGGTATCTTGTCTTCTCATATTCGTCATCGAATTTGTACCTTGTGAGCAAGCTTCTTCGCACCAAAGGTGTATTGCGAAAGAGCGTTCTTGTCGCCTTTGACAATATCGAACTTGCTGTCTTCTGTTGGAAAGACCCAGAGGTACCCTTTCTTGTGGCAGATGCTGCAGTTGCATTCCATCGCCGACTTGATCTCCGGTAACTCAGCTTCGTAAACGAAGGATCCGCAATGGCAACTGCCTCGATACAGACGTAGACTTGGCTTTGGCTGTTGCTGAGATGCATCTTTCTCCGGCTCTTGCTGCTGTGCACCGTCCGCTTTCTTGCTTCTTGTGGTGACCATGCTGGGCGGCCTGACGGTGGTCGTACTCAATATGATCAACGAAATTAGAGTCTTAGAGGAGGACTAGAAGTAAACAATCATGAAGAGATCGTTGGCTGATAATTTCGAAGGAAAAGTAGAGATTAAGGTTGCAGGCTGCTAGTTAAATGGCAGGCTTTGGAGCATAATTACCCCGCGTTCTGAAGTCCCTTGCATGGGAAGGCAGGCATCGCCAGTCAGCACGAAGGGAAGCGGCGTTATCTGAGGCCGAACAGTGCCTAGCAACAGACTTGTGGCGTTCCTCGCTTGAAGTGGAACATACACTTGCAACTCTGATATCCTTCGGATTGGTGCGGTTTCTTCGTTGTTTGTGACTCACCTCTGTTAACAAGTTCCAGTTGAGTGAGGTGTAAGACTCTGATGTTGCTCCGAACATCTCTATCCCACCAATTCACACCACATCTACAGATTTCAGTAGGGCAGTGTGAATGGTAACTTGAGTGTTGAGCATTCGGGAGCGGGGTCGGACAATGCCTAGCTCACAGCCGCTGACGTCAATCTCGCCTGTGGCTGTTCAGCTGCACTTAGTGCTGAGGTTATATTTATATCAAAGGCCGATTGTTGCTCGGGAGACTCCTAAAAACGCAATGAGTCTCACATTGGCTATTTGCTGACATGTAAGAAAATACAGCTAACGTTTGATTGGATTTCAACGTCAGTTGTACCGGAGAGGGGCAAGATGCACTCGCACTATCTGAAGTGGCTAGTGCTACAAACGTAGCTGGTTTAGATCTAAGAGTATTATGGTCCTCTCCAAATTTGATGTTTACAAACCTCGTCGGCTTCATGTCAGAGGCTAGTGGCTGGTACATGGCCATGTTATAATCATACAAATTCCTTTCCTCCGACAATTTCTGGTGGACTCACGGCTTGCACTGGCGTGAACTTTGATATATGTATGTATTTGTGTTGCGTTCGGTGAGCGGACGTACATGCGGGAAAACTCCGTGATCTTCAAATTCGAGTATTCTTGCTCTGAATCAGTTCCGTAAGTCTGTGGATTCACCTCACAGCGGACATTGCCAAGGCTCTGACGTGAACGACTCCTCCTGGTTATCACGACGCGGGTACGCTATCCCGCCGGCGGCAAGAGATGAACCCCCACTTTCAAGATTGATACGAAACCGAGACAATTCGCCCAATGAGCTTGGCAGTAATTGGTTTCCAGAACGAATACACGGTCACAATTAAGGTTCCGGCACTTGGCAGCAAGGGTGATCTGCATGATGGCCCGGTGGGATGGAACGGTTCCCCTCACGGACGCCCTCCGCAAACTCCGATTGAACATTCGCGTCAAGCTCATTGGTTCATCCCTCAGACAGCCGCTGGCTGAACTATTCAGTTGACACGACTGCCGGGCCGTTTCAGTGTGGACATCGGCCGAACACCACTGCCCCGGTGAGGCGGTGACGGAGCTGACCGCGGGGCCACGGACAACCAAAGTCCGCCGCCCGCCGAAAGAAGACGGGTATATGTGAAATTTCCCGTTGGAATTTTGAATCAACAGACGAACATTCCAATCATCAAGATTACAAAGTCAGCTTCTCTCCACCGCAAATCCACCTGATTTCAGCATGGACGTCTTCAACACGACATCTTTCGAAAACGCAGTCACCGACCGCCAGGACGGTTCCACGTCCCCATGGTACGTGGCGGCATCATGCGCGACTGTCGCCATTTTGTCACTATTCCTTATGAGAGATCGCACCACCAAGCTCCCGTACCTCAACCCCAAGAAGCCGTTTGAATGGTCTTCAGCTAGAGCTGCGCAGGAGATCATCCTCAATGCTCGAAACTTGATGTACCTGTCGGCCAACAGTCTTCTGGGGAAGCCCTTCCGCGTGTTAGGTGACGTTGGTGACGTTATCATCCTGCCTCCCGATGTTGGCCAGGAGATCCGTAACGACAAGCGCTTCAGTTTCACACAAGGTCTTGCCGACGTAAGTGGATTTGAACCCCAATCCCCACACTTTGTGACGACTAGCTTACGCGGGATTTGTAGGACTTCCAAGCTCATTACTCTGGCTTTGAGCCTTACAAGGAAGCCTGCGACCCGGCTGAGAGACTTCAGAATGTAGTGAAACTAAGGCTCACAAAGACACTGGGTACTTTCCCTCCCTGTAATTCAAACATTGTGATGGAGACTCAGACTTATAAATGGCTTTTGCAACAGGTAAAATCGCCAGCATTCTTTCTCAGGAAGCGGACATGGTTATCAAGAACACTCTCACCGACTCGAAAGGTAAGTTTCAGAGTCCACTGTGCTCCTGGCTGTAGATGCCCTGACCAATCTTCCCAGACCCCCACGATGTGGTTCTCAAGGAAGTCGTCCTTGACGTCGTCTCTAGACTCTCTGGTCGCATCTTCGTTGGCGAGCGCCTGGGCCGAAACGACGAATGGCTTCACACTGTCATCAACTATGTCGAGACGAGCGTCTTTGCCATGCAGGATATGCGCAAGTGGCCTGAATTCCTCCGACCTATTGTCGCCTGGTTTCTTCCCAGAACTCGGCTCCTCCGCGCATACATCAGAGACGCCGAGAAGCACGTCTTTGCTGAGATCAAGAGACGCAAGGAAGAATCACCGGCTGTCGAGTACCTCGATGGTATTACATGGTTTGAGGAGATGGCTAAGGGACAGAAGTACAACCCGGCCGTTGGTCAGCTGATGCTGGCCAGCGTTGCCGTGCACACCACTGCCGATCTTGTTTGTCAAGCTATGTACGACATCTTGCAGCACCCTGAGCTGATCCAACCCCTGAGAGAAGAGGTTGTTCGCGTTATTGGGGAAGGAGGCTGGAAGAAGACGTCTCTGCACAACATGAAGTTGATGGATAGTGTTCTGAAGGAAAGCCAGCGCCTGAAGCCCAACCAGATTGGTAAGGCTCCCAACGGCATAAAACCACGAATTTGGATGTTGGATGAATATTGACTAACTTTCGAACAGTGGGAATGAATCGCAAGACAGTCGAAGACATCAAGCTTCCCGACGGAACTTTCCTCGCCCGCGGTGCTTCCATCGTCGTCTCCGCTGAACGCATGTGGGATCCCAAGGTCTACGCCAACCCCCTCGACTTTGACGGCTACAGATACTTTAAGGAGCGCGGTGGCCCCAACGATGCCGTGAGCCAGCTCGTCAGCACCAGCACAAGCCACATGGGCTTCGGACACGGCATGCACTCTTGCCCTGGTCGGTTCTTTGCCGGAAACGAAGCCAAGGTTATTCTGGCTCACTTCCTTCTCAAGTATGACTTCGAGTTTGCTGAGAATCAGACGCCAAAGTACATGGAGTATGGGTTCACTTGTGAATCAGACTCTACCGTCAAGGTTTCTGTCCGCAGACGCAAGGAGGAGATTGACCTGTCTGTCCAGGACCCCCAAGCGGAATGAGCATGCGTTTAGTATTCATGTTCAAGCTTGGTCTTGAGCAAATCAAAGACATTATTTTAGCTCACTTTCTTTTGTCATTCTTGGTGTAGCTTAGAGGCAGTGTAAGAAGTTAGAGATCATAGATGTGTTCTGTTTGAGGTTTGGTAATTTGAGTAGTTTTATCCTGGATTATTGGCGGACAGTCGTGGATATATGTCTCTCATTTAGGCCACTGAT